CGCGCCTCGTTGGCTATCTATCATCTCATATCCAACAAGCGCGAGTGGAATAATTGTTAATGATATTGTCTTATTCCGAAGGAAATTTGCTGTTTTCCTCAGAATCGTGGAGCCTTGTGTAAAACAACACAGACTATTTAAATGAACTTTTCTGTCAAACCAGCTGTCTCGATGGAAAGCGGCTGCCGAAACATAATGTGGCACTTATTTTTAAAACGAAGGCGCTACAATTGACATGAAGTTTGTGGGATCAGAATCGAGAGAGAAGGGACAGAAGATAATTTTTTGCTTTTGTAACAGAACAATCGATGTAAATTGCTCCTAATGTAAAGGAATATACTCGAAAGATGAGTGAAACAAGTTTTTGCAAACTTCTTTTCATCAGAGATATAAAACCGGCAAATATCCTGGTAACCTCAAATGGCCACCTTAAACTGTCAGACTTCGGTCTGAGCGAAGTTGTCGCCTTTACCGTGACTGGCGCATGTGGAACTTTTTCGTATATGGCTCCTGAGGTACAAGACACTGTAGACTAGAAGTTCACCTCGCTAAGTCCTCGTTAAAATGGCTAAGTATTTTTTCACTACTTTTTTATCTTGTCCGAAAAAATGGCTGTGAGTTGTGTTTTTCTCAATTCTCCATTGAAGATAAAATCACCATAGCGACGATGATATCTCCTGCCCTCAGTTTTAGAAAAAAAAAAATAGTAGGGGACCCTTGCTAGAAGATCTTGATAACGCCCTTATCATCACAAGGATTTTTTAAAACAGGTTCATGTAGTTGAATCCTTTTAATATAACATGACACCCTGAAAATAACGATCACAAAAATTGTTACAGTGTTAATGCGCTTTGTTTTTGCAATGCTGATAAACTGCACTCAATCTGTGTTACAGATGATAATAGGAGAGCCATATACTTATTCCGTAGACTGGTGGTCCTTTGGAGTGACTCTATTCCAGATGCTGATCGGTCAGGTTTGTACAAGTTATATTGCAACTAATTAAACTCAGACAGAACAAACTTGTTTGCAGCGCCAATTTAGTGATAATGACAGCAGCATTACACTCTCAACTTTTGAGTTCATTTTGAGACTATACGCAATAACTCGCCCTACGGAAGGACACAAATGCTTGTGAATCAAACTTTTGACAATTATGTAATCAGACTTGTCCATTATCTTTCGTCCCGTGGGAAGAGGACACCCTCCTATGGCACACATGGTAAGGGAAGCCAACCAAGAGGGGGGTCTATTTTAAGCTCCATTTCTTAAAAAAAAGGTTAAGCAACGGAGTACATTAAATGGACAATGAAAGGGGTTAGAAGTCATTCAACGAGGAATTTAGAAGGAAATTTGATGTTCGACAATTACGTATAAATCTTCAACCTATTTGAATGGTTTATAAACAGGTTTCAGTCCTTTGTACGTTTGTGAAATGAGTGAAAGCTGTAAATGACAGAGGATTATATTTTCGTATAAGCATACCTGCCCCCCTTCTCCCCTCTGCCTGCTCTAAGCTTATCTGGCTTTCACCTAAAACAGGGAGACATATACGCACAAAGCCTGATTATCAGAAGATTATTGATTGTGAAATGAGCAGTATGCTTGGAATGATAAATAAAATATTTTTTCTTTTTTCTGTTTATTTTCCTACATATCTACTCATCAGCTACCATTTTATGATGACCAAGAGAGAAATATGTTTGAAAACATCGTGTATACGACCCCTGACATCCCCGATTGGCTGGGAACTGAGGCCAGAGATTGTCTTTTAAAGGTCAGTAAACGAAACCCAAAGTTATGTGATTAAAGTAAGTCAATTTCTTCCTGGACAAAAGAGAACCGCAAACATTAATTGAACCTTTTTTTCACATTCACAGTGAAAGATGTGTTCATGAAAGATTGCGGATCACAATTATTCACGTAAATTAAAAGGACCCAATGTGCTTAGCGCAGAAACTAATAGAAACCCTTATCAGCAAAGTGTTTTTGAATAAGTATTTTTGGCAACTACCATAGATCGACATTCAACTAGTGAATAGTACAGTTCGCGTAGTATCTCAACTTTAACGAAAGAAATGTTTTATTTCTGTACAAGCAGCTTCTCCGAAAATGCCCAGCTGTTAGGCTTGGTGTTTACAATTACCATTTGCATCCGTTCTTCAGCGGAAAAGAACCCTTAGCAATTACATGTGCTTCATCGGCGCCAAATGCAACAGCAGAGAATGAGGTATGGTGACATCAGTATCAAGTAGATCTATAATTGAGTCTTTTTAGCTGTAAGAGGCTTCGTGGAAGATGATGCAACCCTACTGAAAATGTAGACGTGATTTCTCATGTTTTCTGCTTTATAACCTTAGCAGCGTTTGTTTTCTTTCGTTTTCTTATATGGTCTCTCTGTTTTTTTTTTCTCACCTACGAAAATTGTACCAATGAAAAACCCTCGACAATCAAAATCTTTATAAGTAATCACTTGTGTATCGTCTTCGGACCAAGGATAATCTGGACCATCCACCAGGCTATCGAGCCAATTTTCCCCGCCAAATGATCGATTTACGTTCCTGTCGAGAAAGATTAGCTAAACTAAAAACGAGAACCTTGATGACGTTGCAAATGTTTTTACAGTACATCGTCTCCATCTGCTTTGTTCAATATTGTATCCGCGTCTTCTCTTCTTTTCTTTAGATTAACCCTATGTCTGGATTTTCCTTTCTACTGTCAGACGAAGAAAATGTCTTCATGGCGGTAAGTGTACATTTCCCGTTTTGAAAACTGAATAAAATCCTTTTCAAAGCCGGGTCATTATTTTGTTACCTCTCTAGGATCGATGGTTAGCCATAGTAATCGTTTTTATGCTTAATATGTGTTCATTGACACGACCTGACTCCCCGAGTGTTTTAAACGAAGTGGTAAATCAAACAACAACAAACATATGAAACATATGTATGAACTGCGGTTATGAAACGTATATATGCACGATCCTTCGCAGTAAAGCACTATTTGAGCAATAGTGAAAATCAGACCTGAAAAAAATTTCAGGCCTGTACGGGATTCGAACCACTGACCTCTGCGATACTAGTGCAGCGCTCTACCAATTGAGCTAACAAGCCAACTGGGAGCAGGCCATCAAATTAATTCGACATAAACCCGTAGATGATAAATCAAACAACAACAAACATATGAAACATATGTATGAACTGCGGTTATGAAACGTATATATGCACGATCCTTCGCAGTAAAGCACTATTTGAGCAATAGTGAAAATCAGACCTGAAAAAAATTTCAGGCCTGTACGGGATTCGAACCACTGACCTCTGCGATACTAGTGCAGCGCTCTACCAATTGAGCTAACAAGCCAACTGGGAGCAGGCCATCAAATTAATTCGACATAAACCCGTAGATGATAAATCAAACAACAACAAACATATGAAACATATGTATGAACTGCGGTTATGAAACGTATATATGCACGATCCTTCGCAGTAAAGCACTATTTGAGCAATAGTGATAATCAGACCTGAAAAAAATTTCAGGCCTGTACGGGATTCGAACCACTGACCTCTGCGATACTAGTGCAGCGCTCTACCAATTGAGCTAACAAGCCAACTGGGAGCAGGCCATCAAATTAATTCGACATAAACCCGTAGATGATAAATCAAACAACAACAAACATATGAAACATATGTATGAACTGCGGTTATGAAACGTATATATGCACGATCCTTCGCAGTAAAGCACTATTTGAGCAATAGTGAAAATCAGACCTGAAAAAAATTTCAGGAATCCCGTACAGGCCTGAAATTTTTTTCAGGTCTGATTTTCACTATTGCTCAAATAGTGCTTTACTGCGAAGGATCGTGCATATATACGTTTCATAACCGCAGTTCATACATATGTTTCATATGTTTGTTGTTGTTTGATTTATCATCTACGGGTTTATGTCGAATTAATTTGATGGCCTGCTCCCAGTTGGCTTGTTAGCTCAATTGGTAGAGCGCTGCACTAGTATCGCAGAGGTCAGTGGTTCGAATCCCGTACAGGCCTGAAATTTNAACATATGTATGAACTGCGGTTATGAAACGTATATGTGCACGATCCTTCGCAGTAAAGCACTATTTGAGCAATAGTGAAAATCAGACCTGAAAAAAATTTCAGGCCTGTACGGGATTCGAACCACTGACCTCTGCGATACTAGTGCAGCGCTCTACCAATTGAGCTAACAAGCCAACTGGGAGCAGGCCATCAAATTAATTCGATATAAACCCGTGGATGATAAATCAAACAACAACAAACATATGAAACATATGTATGAACTGCGGTTATGAAACGTATATATGCACGATCCTTCGCAGTAAAGCACTATTTGAGCAATAGTGAAAATCAGACCTGAAAAAAATTTCAGGCCTGTACGGGATTCAGTGGTTCGAATCCCGTACAGGCCTGAAATTTTTTTCAGGTCTGATTATCACTATTGCTCAAATAGTGCTTTACTGCGAAGGATCGTGCATATATACGAAGTGGTAAATGTTACGGGTCAGGAGCGCGGGAAAACAGCAAACAGTTCTCTGTTTGATTGGCTGATAGAGTAACACCAGTTTTCTTGGCAACAGATATTTTTAAGTCGCGATCTTTAGTTCACACAAAAATGTGGTGATAGCGTGGCCCTTCATGGGCATCGTATTATTTGGTTGCGAAAGTGGCAGATACTCTGGCCGAGCAGCTAGCAATCTAAACTGTGAGATCAAAAGGTGCGCGATCGATTCTTCGAGCCATGGTTGGGATGTTTTCCTTTAAGTTATTTCATTCACTCATAACTGAATCAATCCATCCAATAATTCAGCTTTTTAAATTGATATTGAATCAGTTCGTTTCTTTTTTGAAACTTGTCTCTTTTCCTTGTTCTAGGATGACACCTCTTCAGATTGATTATAAATGGTTTCGGATTTCCCAAACCTTTGTCAAAGTAGATGTGCAGTTATCAAAGTGAGTGAATGAGCAATTTTGTTAAGAAAAAGGGGCCTCTTTAATGACTCTGAATTGATTC